CGGAATCTAAATCGGAAGCTCATACTATACAGCGCTATGCTGAAATCTGTCGCGTCTCTTGCAGGTGCTGGAACTGTTTAAGTATCAGGTGATAGGCTCAAGGTCTCGAATACATATCTACCCTTCGGATGGGGGCTGCCACAGGCTTAGTACCCTAAACCCCAGACCCTAGACCCTAAACCCTAAACCCTAAACCCTAAACCCTAAACCGTAACGTGGGCGGCGACGCTTCTTGGACTCCTCGGCTCCTCCGACTATCGCCAGAACCGGGTTCTAATCGAAATCGAAAGACTCGCTCTGCCTACATGGCCGGGTAAGTCTCAACATAATGCCGGGCCCAAATCCAAACAGGGTTTTTTCCAGGGGGATAATAATTAGAATATGGAGTTTAGGGGGCTCCTTATTATTATTATAATGATTTAATGATTTAATATACCCCCAAACCCTATTCTAATTATTAAGGCCCCTATACTAAGCCTAAATTTTAGATTGGGCCGCAATCAGGGTCACCCAGCCATCGGAAGATACAGACGCGTCTCTGCCACGCCTTGAACGTGAATCGTTTAACATGTCACGTAGCCATTCGGCTGATGACATGAATCCTGCATAACCCATAATAAGGAATATACCATACTTCCCATAGTCTAGGGTCCTCAAAGTCATCCAGGATTTATATCATCAACAGTTTCACCTCTGCAGCCAACGCCCCCCAAGCCAGCAGGCCGCCCCCGCTTAAGCCCCACAGAAAGGGCTTGGAATTCCTGGGCGTTGGCGCTCGGTAGGCTAAATCGTTGCATCGCCCGTGTCCACGGGCCCCAAGTGCATACCTTGACAGTTGTAGGGTTTGGGGGCTTTAGGTTTAAGGTTTCGGGCTTCGAATTTACCGCTTTCAGGACTTGTATAAGGAAGTCATCATATGGACCTAGGATATGGTATTAAGAAGTTCGAAAATTCGGGTTTTGGGTTTGGTTTTTGCTTTGGGTTTCGGGTATACGTTGGGTTTAGGGTGTAGGGTTTAGGGTGTAGGGTTTAGGGTGTGGGGTTTAGGGTGTAGGGTGTAGGATGTAGGGTTCAGCGTTTAGCTACCAAGGCCACCGAAGAACCCTGCACGTACTCTGCGAGGGTTCTCTAATGCTCACCACCCTGCGTGACTGGTGCGGTTGTCCCTAAACCCTAAGCCCGATAAACAACTTCACCAACGTAGAGCCTGAACTTCACTAAACCTTAAACCCTAAACCCCTAAACCCTAAACCCATAAACCCTAAACTCGGAAACCCTAAACCCCTAAACCCTAAACCCGAAATCCAACAGACCTCAACCCTGAGCTCGCACCCCCTCCCCCAACAAATCCCAAACCCTACACTGTACCTGAGAAGCTCATAGCGGCGCATCTCGGATTTAGAGAAACGTTTGTGGGTAGGTGTACGTAGGGTCACGTTTCGGCCTTATGGCACAAGCATGCCTAAGCGCCCGTATCTCAGGAGGTCTACTCCAGTAGACTTAGCTATCCCAACCCATATGTCACAGGTACCAGTCACCTCAAAGTGGGTGGGGAGTTTTTGTGCGGCTTGGCTTGGAAACATAAGCAATAGTTGTTGCACCGTTGCTCCCACCAAAGTCTGTACTGTTTGAACATAACACCAAGCTAAGCTATCACTATTCCTCCTATGGAGCGACTATTACACTACTGTTATATGAAGGCACCCTTACGGAATACGACTACTCACAATAGCGGGCTGAAGGAAGCTGCGGAGAGAAACGTAGGGTTGACGCCTAGCACTTGTGGGGTGCTGGAGTTCCATGTTTATCGTTAACCCTAAACCCTAAACCCTAAACCCTGAACCGTGGCTCTTCCTGGTGCTCAACACGGGACAAGACTTTAGGATTCCAGGTCCGGAAAACCTCTCGTACACCTCCAGCCGGCCCACTCTGCAAATATCCGCAACTACGGTTTAGGGTTTAGGGCTCTTGGTTTAGAGTTTAGGGTTTAGTGTTTAGGGTTTAGATGACCTTAAACCCTAAACCTCTGACATTGGAGAAGGAGCAAGTCTTGTAAATCCTGGATGTTTATTTTTTTGAATTGAATACGATGCCAAAATACGATTGCAGGTTCCAGTACGTATCCAAACTACGCTTCGAATACGATACCAACTACAATTGCAGGACCATGTACAGGTTCCAGTGCGAATCCAAACTACGATCCGGCTGGCCGGGGGCGTGGGTAGGCGGCCGATCGTACATGGAAATCGTACTTTCTCATGTGAAAGTACGATTCCAAGTACGATTCCATTCCAGGAACGATCGTACCTGGAATCGTACTTTGTGGTGTCAAAGTACGATTCCGAGTACGATTCCAAAGTACGATTCCGGAGCTAAGTACATTCCATGTACGATTCCAAGTACGATTCCAGGTACGATCGTACCTGCAATCGTACTTTCGGGGTGTCAAAGTACGATTCCAAGTACGATTCCAAAGTGCGGTTCCGGAGCCAAGTACGATTCCAAAGTACGATTCCGGAGCAAAGTACGATTCCATGTACGATTCCAAGTACGATTCCATGCATGACGTTGTAGCTCGTACATGAAACCGTAAATCGCAATCGTACATGAACTTGTGCTCGTCTTTCAGAGTCGCATCCGGGATCGTAAAAGAATTCATTTGGGGGGATACAAGGGTTGCTGACTTTATTATCATAACCCTAAACCATGAACCAAGCCGAGGCACCAGAACTGTGTCGGCTGCTTTGGTAGCTGTTTCTGTAAAGAAAGCTTGTCCGGGTGTCCGTCCGGGCGTCCTGGTTGGTTCGGGACTGTGGATTTTGCGTTTAGGGTCCAGGGTTTTGGGTTTTGGGAAGAATGCTTCCAGCCTGAAGACTAGCTGAGAAGATGCGAACAACGGAGCAATAGTGAAAACTTGAGCCCGGATCCTAGCCGAGTGCTGATACTCTTATATTCTGAACTGAAAGCAGGGCCACAAGCTTAGCAGTACTTCCACGATCACGAACTATTGCCGGGATTAATGATGGAGATCAAATGTCCGATGACCCATATTCGGATGTTCAACCACAGCCTCAAGAACCCAAAGCCCTAAAAGCTAAACCCTGGGCCTATATACCCCAAACCCTAAGCCCTACACCTGACTCCCCAAGCTGGGGCGTCAGGGCAGAGAATGTGTGCTGTGGGGCTCCTCGTGGGGGCTATCTCGCCGCGGCAGTGCCAGCGTCGGGGATGGATCCTGGCAACGTGCTGACAGTGGGGAAGCAGGTCTTGATGGAACAAATTCTGATGATGATGATGATGATGATGATGCTGATGATGATGATGGTGGTGGAGGTGGTGGTGGTGGCGGTGGCGGTGATGGTGATGGTGATGGTGACGGTGCTGGTGACGGTGATGGTGATGGTGACGGTGCTGGTGCTGGTGCTGGTGCTGGTGCTGGTGCTGGTGCTGGTGCTGGTGCTGGTGCTGGTGCTGGTGCTGGTGCTGGTGCTGGTGCTGGTGCTTGTGCTGGTGATGGTGATGGTGATGGTGATGGTGATGGTGATGGTGATGACCGTTACGGTCTTGATGATCATAGTGATGCTGATGATGCTGACGACACTGGCCACCAACGCAAACTTACTTCTGATTTTGCATGTGCTTGATTGTCTCTCTTTCTAGCCCGGACAATGATCACGATCCCCTTCGCCATCAAGACTTGTCCCAGCGTTATTCGTCTTTGACTTCAGCTCACCATGACCTTCAAATGTCCCATTTCATCGCGTAACATTAAGTTCTTCCTTGCCAGCATCGTGATAGACATGGCTGCTGTCATCAGGAGTAGCAGCAGAAGGAGTAGCACGAAGAGAATCGACAAAAGGACGGAACTGACGAACATGATGACCATGGCAAAGCGTAACATTGATGGCGGTGGTGGTGAAAAAGATGATGACAATGGGTATGATGCGGACCCAGCTCGGTAGTTTTCAGAGCTCGTGTGGAAACGTCAAGTTTTACTATAGGGGCCTTAATAATTAGAATGGGGTTCAGGGCCCATTATACTATACTTAAACCTAAAATAAGGAACCCCCAAAAATAGTATTGGTAATTATTTAGGCCCCTACATTACAAGCCGAAAGGCATCCGCCTTGCAGGTTCAGTTGATGCGATGGGAGACATTGGATTCCTCCCTAAACCCTGAAACCTAAGAAAGTCTTAAGCCCACTCTAAACCCTAAACCCTAAGCCCTAAACCCTAAACCCTAAACCCTAAACCCTAAACCGAAGCAGCACATCGTACAGAAAACCCCGACGACCTGAAGCTCTGAATCCTGAGCCCTGCAAGAGTAGGGGCTCCGAGAATGAGAATGTTCTGCTGCAATAGCGAGGATAGGGTTTCGGGGTTTACCGTACTACACTTAGAGTAACGATAACGAAGAAAAAACAACAATAACACAATCAATAACAACAAAAAATGAAAAGTAATAGCAGTCATAATAAAACAATAGCGACAACGACAACGATAATGATAACAATGACATAATGATATCCACAGTCATAATAAACAATAACCCGAATAACCATCATGAAAATAATAGGGACTACAGGTCTATAATGGGGATACTATTCGTAACTCCTCAGTAAGCCCCTATGTTGTCACGAAGGTCACCACAGCCAAAGCCCTGACTGCCATGCTTCGAATTCCCGGGCAATAATAGAGTCTGGGATTTAGGGTTTAGGGTTTGATATAATGTGGGGATTTAGGGTTTAGGGTTTGATATAATGTAGGGATTTAGGGTTTAGGGTTTGATATAGTGTGGGGGCCTTAATAATTAGAATAGGGTTTTTGAGGCCCATTATACTGTAATTCTGATAGGGAACCCAAATTATTCAGGTTTAGGGTGTAGGGTAGTAGCACCATTATCCCTTGTACTCTTTTTTGGGGGGTGTAAGAGCCGAACCTAAACGAACCCCTACGTGCCCAACTTCCTAGTTCACGATCTCGCAAGGAGAAAGCCGGTCCTTGACATCCTCGATAGTGATGCGGGTGTGAGCGACAGGCGCAGGCGCCGGAGCGAGAATCTGCGCCTGTATCGTCGCATTCTGGTTTCAAGGCTGAGATTCAAGATGACTTTGGAGTTCGCCGCGCGCTTTTCGCAGACTGCTTAGGCATTTTCAGATTGGTGTCAGAAACTCCTTTCCCTCGCGCATCTTGTCCTTCGGCTTGAACTGAAAGACGGGGGAAGTGACTCCATCTGACCGCGTTGAGAAAGCCCTTCTAGAAACGCTGCTGATAACCCTAAACCCCTCAAAGAACCTGAAGATCCTGTAGACTGCAACCAAATTCCCCCCAGGAACCCTTCGTAATTAGGATAGGATTTTGGTGTATTTTATGCTATAATTATCATAAGGAACTCACCAAAATAGCATAGGCAACTACTACGGCCTCTACACTACACCGTTTAAAGGAGCCTCTAGGGCTTATTTGAGATCCCGTTTATGAGACCAGCCCAAAGTCCTGCAGGGCAAGTGGCATCCTGCAGCAGACCTGTTAAACGAGCTTAGGGTTCAGGGTTTAGGGTTTAGGGTTTTGTTCCGTTGTTTAGAGCTTAGTGGTTTAGGGTTCAAGGTATCTCCGAACTCTGGGTCCCCTTTGAAGGATGCCAAGGGCACCCCCCGGAGCCTCGGTCTGCTGCTTCGCCCCACCTGGCCCGCACTGGGCCTCCAGAAGCAACGTCTCAAGCACCGCCTCGGCGTGGGCAGCACACCCCTCTGCCGTGGTTTAGGGTTCGGGAGTGAGGGAAACGCACCGAAACCCAAGCCATGTGTGAGGACCCATGTGGGCTCCGGAAACCAAAGGGCCGAATAGTGCAGCATTGCCAGGACTTCTAGCGGACTCTGGCAACTCAAAGGCCAAAATTCGCACGAAACTATACCATGAGCACGATTTCCACCCAACAACAACACTCACGGCACTGTGGTGGGAGCAGCCTATGCCATGCTTTCTAAACCAAGAACCGAAAGTGTCAAGCCGAATCCAACTCGAGGCGTCAGACCCTGAGGTCAAAAGCCGCCAAGGGTTTAGGGTTTAGGGTTTAGCTGAAGCTCCAAACCCACGACCTGCGATAAGGAGCCCTCTACAACAGAACAGTACTACTATACTCTACTACTATACTACTATTTCTTGTCTACCATACTACTATACTCGACTACTATACCTTTTTTCTCGACTACCATATTACTATACTATACCCGAAACCCGAAATCGTAAATCCCAGAACCACACCTAAACCTCGAGCACCGGCCCGTGCCAAGAGGCTGTAGACTGCTTCAGGGCTCCCTCCTGGGGCGTACTAGTTCATGGTTGGGGTAGCATTAAAAATTTTAATGTATTTTCCTTATTGGGTTTAAGTACCCTTAAAAATGTAAAATGTTACCCAACTATGACAAAGCGTAGGGCTTTGTGCGTTAGGGGGTTGTGTTGGACATTACTTTGAGAAATCAGTTGGGGATTCTTTGGGCATCGTGTGCGCTCGATGAAGGAAACCCTAAGCCCTAAACCCTGAACCCTAAACCCTAAACCCTAAGGTTGGCATGTAGGGTTAAGGGCAGGTTCTCAAGGTTCCCAAACTTGGGCAGGGTTGGGCCTGGATCTCGGACGTGTGGAGCTTTCAGATTCGGGCTAGCTGCTCCTTTCTCTTCCAGCGGGCTTAATATAGGGGCACTAATAACTAGCATAGGGTCCATGATACTATATTTATAATAATGAACCCCCCAAAATAGTATTGGTAATTATTTAGGCCCCTAAACCCTAAACCCATTTACTAGCCCTTATAGAACCCTCTTAAGGAACCACTACAAGGAACCCTTTAAAAGGAACCCCCCCTACATTAGCCGCTCCTCTCTCTATCAGCGGGCTCTGGGTTTTGGGCTCGGGGGCCCGGTTGGAGGAAGCGCTGTCTTAGGGCGGAGACTTCAGAACTCAGGGCTTGGGCTCTAGGGGTTTCGGGCTTAGGGTTTAGGGTTTTGGGTTGTGGGTTTAGGGTTTGGGGTTTCGGGTTTGTGGTTTGGGGTTTAGGGTTTGGGGTTTAGGGTTTGGAGTTTAGGTTTCTGAGTCTGTGGCACGGTGTGTGTGTGTGTGTGTGGCACAGTCCAGAGTTAGGGCTCGACGAGAGTTCGGGGTTAGGGTTGTAGAGGTTCAGGGCTCAGAGCTTAAGATAAACGCTTCCACACTCAATTAGAGTAGTCTTGTGGGGCATGTTGTACAAAAACTGGCTGGTAAATGGCTTCAATAATTAAGATAGGCGTTTGGGGGAGATGTTAAACTACGACTGTTTAGGGGCCGTAAAAGAAAACGACTGGCCTGAGCGACGGGCCCTGAACCCCAAACACTAAACCCGAAGACCTAAACACTAAACCCTAAACCCTACCTCCAGAAGCAACGTCACATCCGAGCTCCGGACCATGCTTCCGACTGCTTATGACTCCGGTTTCGGGTTTAGGGCTTCTGGGGTTTAGAGCTTAGGGCTTCTAGGGTTTAGAGTTTAAGGCTTATAGGGACGGCTTACTTACTAAGTTATTTGAAGTCTGACGGACTGTCTCTCGCGGTCCGGTCCACCCCTCACTCGGGGATGTCCCGCTGTCTGAGCAACCAGGACTACCGACGCCTTCTGGTTTAAGGCTTAAGCCCTAAACCCTCGAGTTCGGCGATTCGGGGCTTTAAGCCGTAAAGCCTGGAGCTCAGGGTTCGCTGGTGGGAACCCAATGGTTCAACGCCGAGGCTCTGTGGCGGAGAGGACCAGCTGCTCCAATCTGGGACGGTTCTGGGGTTCAGGCTTCGGCGCTTAGGGTTTAGGGCTTTCGGGTTTAGGCTTTAGGGTTTAGGACTTAGGTTGAGGGTTTAGGGCAGTTTAGGGTTCAGGGTTTAGGGGTTTAGGGTATAGGGTTTGCGTTTTCGGGCATGTTTAGAGTGTTTGACATGGGTGTGTAGATTCTGGCGTCCGGAAGGCTGCACTTATGGCTGCGATCATCATAGAATCCGGTTGCCTCAATTCGGACAGGTATTGTCATATGGAGCATGTGTTTTGGCAAGGAAGCTTCCCAGCCCAACGGAATGCGGACCGTGTCGAGGACATGCCCACGAAAGCTGATCCCAGAACACCTAAACCATAATGCACGCGTATCTTCCTAAGCCCATGCGCCATGCGCCCCCGAACTCATATGCCCCAAACCTTAACCCATAAGCCCCCAAACT